TCAGCGGGCTGCACTGGGCTTGGGTTTCTCTTTGGCAGGTCAGGTTAGAAGGAGAGTTTTTGATTTGAGAACCCGAAGGATTAATTTCTTGCTCCCCCGGCGCGCTGGTTTGGTTTGTCTCGATTTGCGTCTTGCTCCGTGGGTTGTCATATAACGTAACATAACATAGCATAAGCGATGTAACTTGTGTGATCGTGACAGCCTTTTGGAATCAAGATGTAATTTCATCTTACTGAAGTGTCGCCGTGCGTCCGACCCCGGTGAGGAGGGGAAAGTTGGCTGCAGCTGCTGGAGGCCTCCATTGCCATTTGCACTGCTGAACTTTCTGTAGGGTTTCATTCTGAGCCCCAACCTGTAACATTATTTACACAGCATCTTCGCTGCATTTTCTTCTTGTTGGAGGAGGAAATGAACGAAAGTTTGAATTAACACAGGCAACGCTGACAGCTCTGAAACCAAAACTCTCTTAAACTTTGAACTTCTCAAAACAGCGCTAAGTTTGCAAGAAGGCTTTGCGCTCTAGCTGAGAAACTAGTCTTGAATGTGCCTATATACACATGATGCATCTCTTGTACTGTAAATTTTACAGCGTGAGCAGACCGTTTATACGTGAGTCTTATTCTCTGAATTGTTTAGTTTTCCTTCTCACTTGTAAGTCTTTAGGATCATAGGTAGCCCGTTATACAGGTTTTTGTAAAAAATAACATCACATTTGTGACAAGTTCTGCCATCAAAGCTCTAGTGAAATTGTATTTTATCGCTTCACATATGTTAACATGTGCAAGCATTTGTTGCAGCAGTTGCCAGAGAATTTTATATTTAAGTTTTAACATAAAATTTCAAACTACAAAACCTGAAGTATATAAAAAAAATTGGATCCCTTATTGTAAAACCTTTTTTTTGTTTAATGCATAGAGTTACCATTCACATTCTTTGTAATATGTGGATGTTGGGAAACCCGTGCTTGTTCTTCAGGCTTGCCAATGTGAGTACCTGTGCATCTGATGACTCCTTCAGGTTTTAATATGTTTTTAATGATATTTCTTTCTTTCATTTTCAGACTGCATTCAGTTACAGCAACGTATGGCTGGCAAATAGTAATATCATACTTGCTGTAACATGACACTACGCTTACTGGTAACATAGTCTGGCGTTACGGTGGAAAGGAAAATTCTGTCATTTTTTTTCATTGAATTTCTCCTACTGTTTTCTACTGCCTCCCTGATCTCTTGATCCTACTAACATCATCTGTTCTATAGGGAAATCGTTACTTTTCTGGAAGTTATTCCAGAGATTCCACTAGGTCTCATCCCCTAAGACCATATATTGCAGGGATTATTAAAACCTGAGGCAGCTGTGTTTTTGCTCAGAACAGAAGTCACTAGGAAGATATTGTCTTTCTGTCTTTCCTGTTCTGTGAAACTCTTTTCAGCCTTTGACTTTCCCTTTGCCTTCCCAGGTATGCTTGCATCATGTTGACAGGTTGCAATGTTCTTGTGTTTGAGCTAGCCATCTCCAGAGGTAGTCATGGGCGTGAAACACGTGGTTGTGTTGACATTGAGTAGTTCAATGCTGTGTCACAATGCGGTAATATATTTCTAGATCTGAATTAAAATCTCACCGTGTATGGATGGACCAGCTTAGGTCAGGAGTTGATAACACTTGTTTAAACATTTGTAGCTATTCTTTACGGTGGTGGGTGGGCATACTTGTCATGGCACTTGGGTCTTCATGTCATCTATCCAACAACCTGGGTTGTTTCCCTGTCTCCTTGGCTAGCTTGTGTGTTGAATTCTTTTCCTTTGCATGACAGATTGCATTCTTCCCTCTGGCCCTGCAAAGTAAAAGGTGCCCTGGATCCTTGCAAAAGGACAGATCCTATTCTGTCCGCAACTGTCTTTTTGTGTTAATTTTGAAACTCTGCTGATTTCTCGTTCCAAAAACTTTTCATGATCACACCTTATGAAGTGCCCATCTTCTTGTTTTCCATCTGTTCAGCAAGATCTGACAACTTTTCATTGAGTTTCTTTTGTTTCTTCGCTGTTGCAGTAGTAGGGCTGTGAAAAGAGTGCTGTGAGTTCCTTTCTTTTCTTTTTTCTGACTGAGCAGATGCAACTGTCATCTCCTCTATACGCATGCTTATTCTAATTTTCTTTGTGCATTTATTGAGAGTTTCCAGTGTGTTACCTGTGGAAAAACTGTTGCAGATTCATGTCTTGAAAAGTTTTTTGGTTTTTGTTTTTCCCGATAGCCTCTGAACTAATATCAGATGGCAACAAGTCTATTTCACTGTCACACAGAAAAGAGACAAAATTAGCGAAGTAGTCTTTTAAACGATCCATGATAAAAGAAAGACATTGCTGTCATGTCTGTGGTGATTATAAAATCATTCACAATGTAAACTCCAACTTGTCCTTACTGGATGAAAATAATAATTGAAAGAGTGATCCTTTTGGCTGTGTTAGATCTAAGGATGCCCAAACCATGTAATTTGGTAATGCTGTGGGAAGAAATGGTCCTGTCCTTCCACAGTGACATCCTCCTTCTTCTTTCCTTGGTGCCAGCACATGGGTCTTACAGCTACAGTGGATTGAGGAAATAAGCTACCTGGAAAAATACCAACATTTTTCATCTGGATCGCTTTTCCAAGTTGAAAACAGTGAACTGCGCATTATGTAGGAGGAGAGGAGATTTTTATTTACTTATTTCAAGATTAACATCCCTAGTCCATTGTTAAAATGTCTTTTTTATTAGCATGTAGATTGTGTGAGCTTCCAAAATAATGTGGCAAACTTATTTTGGGAAATATTAGAATAAGTCCATTAAAATAGCTTGATGCATGTATGATACACTTAAGTCTCAAAAATGCTCTACTTACTCTTATTTTGCTGTTCACTCACTGTGTATGGATTAAACTTAATACAGATAAACATATTTTGAAGCTCTATAAATTTTTTTTCTGTCAGGCAGACTGGCTAAACGATTTCCTGGGTTAAGAGCACTGTGTAGCAATCTCCAGAATACGAATTTTAGCGTGTGTAGTAGAAGTACTGCTTCCATTCTGAGGATGGCGTATATAATCGTGAAAGTTCACGATACAGAATTTCAGTTTTTCAGCTGAGAGATGTAATTCAGTAATGTCAGTTTTGATTAAGAATAGTATTCTTCTCTGTTTCTTACTGAATTTGCTCAGGTAGATATCTTGTCCTACAAGTGGCAGCCAGCTCTCCTCTGATCTTAGCATATGAGCTGTTAGCTAGAATGTAGCTTGGCCTGGTTCTTCGAAAACGCGACTAGAATTATATGGCCATTTAATTTTTGTTCTTCTCTCTTCTAGGTTGCTGAAAGGCTTGAAAAGTTGACTGGAACACTAGAGTGGAGGTTATAACACTGTGGTGAGTATGCTATTTTAAAACAGAAGGGAGAGGTTGGGAAAGGAACTGATAAAGAATCATGAGTTCAGGAATGAATCACTCAGCGATGAATTGTTTGCAGCTTTGTGTGGGAAGATTAAAGTGATGAGAATTTGAAAAGAGGAGAAAGCAGTAGTTGGTAGTGTGAGTGTTCTCATTCACAGTGAAGGAGGGAAAGAACTCGATGCTTCACGTTTTCACTTAGGTGTAAAACATTGCTGTGTGCCTTCTACCTGTCACGTTATTGTTTTGCTCAGTGCCGAAGTGGAAAAACTGGGAGAAATTTCCTGTTTACCATTAACAACATGCAAAATCAGTGATGAAGTCACAACTGGAAGTTGGATATCCTTGACACTCTACTCAATCTACTAGCTTTTAGTAATAAATACATTTTACTAGCTTGTAAGAGTATTGCAGTATTAATATTTTGCATGTTTGTAAAAGAAACAATTTTAACTTCATTGTACATTATATCTCATCCTGGTGGAACTAGTCCACAGTATTTCTGACAAGGTTATTTATTCATTTTTTTGCTCCTGTTAAAGTGGGTTACTGGAAGATGACCATAGAGGATCTCCCAGAACCTTCCTTAGAAGGAGATTCCCTCATTGGAAGAGATCAGTTTTTATTCCCAAGCTCAGAATCATCTGTTACTTTCTCTGTTGCTGCAGCACCAATGCCTTCAGACTGTGGTATGTACTTCAACAGAAAATGAATTTGTGAAGCTACTTTGACAGAGAATAAATTTGAATAATTCTTTTAAAGGAAAATTATAAACTCTTAATTTATTCCAAATTTTATTACTTGTTGAAAAAAATCTCTGATGACTCAACGCAGTATGTAATATATTAAAATGTCTCTGTGGGTAAAGTTTTCAAAGAGTCAGTAAAGTTGTAATGCCTTTGGATTTTGTGGAAGACATCAATGATGTCTAGACACCTTTAAAAATTACTCTCTCTGTCTCTGTTTTCCCCATGCGTTGATTACAACGGTCAACTATTTTAAGAAGACATAAATGCACCTAACCTAATGTTCTATCTTTGGTAGACTTAGCGCTCCTGAGACCCATTTGATGAGTTAGCATGGGTTTGGGAATTTAAGAGTTCCAAGTGATATGTTTGTAGTACACGTGCATCTTTATACAGTTTGCCCATATTCTCGTAATGTTTTTGTCTGTCCTCTTCTGCCTTAAGTACTTCCATAATTTATTCCATTCTGCTTTCTTTTCTCCTAGAAAAATTTTCCTTTCATCCTTCTTTAAACATTGCTATGTTGTGATATTTGCAGATCAGTATCAGTAATATCTGTCTGATCTATGCCTGCTCAGTGAATAAAAAGACTTCCTCTTACAGGAAGGCACTGTTACATATGAAACAGTAAATTTATTTCTTAGTTTATATAGCTATACTTCTATATGACTGTTCCTTAGAATTTTGTGGTTGGAGTGTGCTGGTCACTTCTTTATTAGAGTATGTTTAAAAATGCTTATGTATGTACTTGTACATGAGGCTAGAGGACAGCTAGTGGTGTAATGGCTAAGAGTATTTCGTCTGTTGAGGTTTAACCTTCTTCCACCAAATTCTTCTTCTAGATAAAGATAACATTTACTTTTTATGGAACTTCTTGTTTTAAGAGATTTTTCTAAAACATTTCTTTGGTTTGCTCTTAGAAACATTGCAGCTGATCAGCTATTAAGCACTTAGGATGATTGTTATGCCTATAGTCTCTTTTTTTTTTTTTTTTTTATCCTCGCGTGCTGGTTGTAACAGTCTGCTACAGTTGATTTCTGATATATAGTTTGAAGTTCAGGTTAGTAGCTACAAAGCTTCCTGGCAAAGTAAGAATCATACATGTCATATAAGATCGTTAATCTTGTTGACTGGTATTGGATTTCCTTCATGGCTTTCAGCGTGCAATCAACTGAGGTCCAGGCAGAGGTTAAACATTAGTAGGTAAATTAGTAGATCTGTGTCAATGCCTGGGACTTAGGTTAAGAAGTCCATGTTGTATAGTGCAGGGAGATGAATTTTTGTTTTGTTTTGTTTTGTTTTTTTACAATTTAGATGCAAATCAAAATTCATGCTAAGTGTCAATGAAGAGATCCTCCTTTTTCATTCTTGTTGAATCAAGAAAATCACAGAATCACAGAATGGTTGAGGTTGGAAGGCACCTCTGGAGATCATCTAGTCCAACCCCCCTGCTCAAGCAGGGTCCCCTAGAGCACATTGCCCAGGATTGTGCCCAGGCGGGTTTTGAATATCTCCAGCAAAGGAGACTCCGCAACCTCTCTGGGCAACCTCTTCCAGTGCTCTGTCACCCTCACAGTCAATAAGTTTTTCCTCATGTTCAGATGGAACTTCCTGTGTTTCAGTTTATGCCTGCTGCCTCTTGTCCTGTTGCTGGGCACCACCGAGAAGAGTCTGGCCCCATCCTCTTGACACCCTCCCTTCAGATACTTGTATGCATTGATCAGGTCACCTCTCAGTCTTCTCTTCTCCAGGCTGAACAGGCCCAGCTCTTGCAATCTTTCTTCATAGGAGAGATGCTCCAGCCCTCTAATCATCTTGGTAGCCCTCCGCTGGACTCTCTCCAGCAGTGCCATGTCTCTCTTGTACTGGGGAGCCCAGAA